TTAAACACTGTTGCCATCACTGGTGCTCCCAGCTCTGAGGCCACGGCCAGCTGAAAGCAGGTATCTGGGGTTTGTTTAGCTTCTATAATTGAAACATTGTTGCTTTCGGGCTCAGAGCCGGGCCGTGGCAGGCGGGGAACCTTGGCTTCCTCCATCACTGGAGCAAGCAAGCCTCATGTTCGCTTCAGCTGCGTGGCTGCGGCTGCCATTTTTGTTGGCAGTTTATTTGCATATCCTGCTGATTAGCCAATGGGAAGCATGTCGGAGGTACAGTTAATTACCCTATTTGTCTTTTATTAGATAGGAAGGATATATATATACTAATAAAAGACAAAGATGCTAATTGACCGTACCTTCACTACGCCCATTAGCCAATCCGAAGAGTATGCAAATTAACCCAACAAAGATGGCCGGTAAATTTGCACACTGCAGGCTGGGCCGGCAGCGTGCGACACTGCCTGCAGGACTCGAGCCCCGGATCCGTGACCCGGTGAGGCGGAGCCGGTAGCGCCCGATGCTGCCCGGGGGATCCGGGCCTTGGATCCGTGACCTGGCGAGGGAGCAAAGCAGTGGAGAAGGGAGAGAGCCCAGGTGGCAGAGAAGGGAGGGAGCCAAGGGCTAAGCGGTGAAGGGAGGGAGCGTAGCCTGCCTCGGTGGGCATTGCTCCCTTCCTGCTTCGCTCCGGTCTCAGGAAGCCCTATTCTTGCAGGAATAGGCCTGAGGAAGCTCTATTCTTGCAGGAATCTTCCTGAAATGGGCCTCTAGTCCTATCTAATAATAGACAAACATGGTAATTGACCATAACTTCGCTACACCTCCCATTGGCTAATCAGCGTGATATGCAAAATAACCGCCAACAAAGATGGCGGCTAATCCTGTGTGCCACCCGGGGGTGGGCGGGGGCTCAGGCAAGGCGATCCGCATCGCTTGCCTTTGTCTGAGCCCTGCCCGCCCACCAGGAGCCAGCCAGCCAAGGGCCAGGAAGGTGGGACGTGACCCAGGAGCGCTGGAGCCACCTGGGTTCTCCCTGCCACCCGCACTTCATGAATCACAAGTTTCTGTGGAGGCGGTGGCTGCGGGATGCAGAGCGGGCCGAGTGCAGCTTGGGCTCGATGGAGGGCATTGGCATGGAGGAGATTTCCCCGGCGGCTGGGGGAGCCGCCGCCTGCCGCACCACCACCCACCCCAGCTGAGTGGCCCCAAGAAAGGAGCTGAAAAAGTATGGCTGAGGAGGAGGCGCCTAAGAAGTCCCTGGATGCCAGTGGCGGGAGCTGGGAACTTTGTGCCGAGAAGCTCCTGGTGGGGCTGGTGGCAGAGGGGACCTGGGACTCTGGCCACCGCCACCACAGCCCCCCAGCTGGCTCCAGGCTCTTGGCACGCTGGCTACTGCTGCTGCTTTGGCTGCTGGAAGCTCCGCTGCTGCTTGGGGTCCAGGTGCAGGTGGCGGGGCAGGGGCCCCGGCCAGGTCAGCAGCCCCCGCTGCCACCGCCTCAGCAGCAACAGAGTGGGCAGCAAATACAACGGCGAGCGGGGCATCTCCATCCGGGACCACGGGGGTGGGCGGGGGCTCAGGCGAGGTGATCCGCATCGCTTGCCTTCACCTGAGCCCCTGCCCAACCGCCAGGGATATGGGGCCCTCCGAGTGAGAGAGAGAGAGAGAGAGAGAGAGAGGGAGAGAGAGACGGAATTTGGCACCCCTCATCCCTCCCTGATTGACCACTGCAATTCCAAGCCAGGGAGGGCTGCCTTCAGGTCGCAGCTCCAGGTCCCTCACCCCCACCCCAGGCCTGAGAGCACAGTGCTGGGCAGGGGCACCCAGGGGTTCGGGAATGCAGTGGGGGGTGGCTGTGTTTACACCACCAAGTTCCCCACTTCTGCCCTGGCCCACTCATCCCTCCTCCTTCCCCTCAGAGGCCCAGCTCCTGCCTTAATGCTTGCTGGGCAGGCCCAACTGTACCGGGGAGTGAGCCATGGCGATCGGGATGGCCAGTTCCTGGGATGGGACCACCAGACCATGGTGATTCATGAGGGCGATGAGGCCCGTGGGGCATGTGCAGCCCTAGGGAGGTGGGGGTGGCCGGCCAAGCTGAGTCTGGCTTCAGTGGGGCCAGTGGGAGCCCGAGGCCACCCCAACCCCCACAGGTCCTGGGCGGACGGTGGCTCAGTGGAGAGCGGTGTCTCCATGCATGGTGCCCAGGGGCGGCTATGAGCTGCTACAACCCCACCCCATGCTTCAGGGATGGGGAGAAGGCTCGCAGCCACCAGCACCCTAGGCTGCATTGCCTGTGCCTCAGCCTGCCAGGTTGGCAGGGTCCAGAGCAGGTGAGCTGCTCCCTTCCCCCAGTGGTAGAACAGGGAGGAGAGCGCTGGGTGCAGGGAGGGGACCTCAGCTGGGATCCTTCTGGTGTGGGGAAGGGGCCCAGCCTGGGCCCAGTGGGGAGCTTAGGAAGTCTGGCTAAGCAGGTGCTGGTTCATACCAACTCTTACTCTGCCATCTTCCTCTAGCTCTTCAAGCTAGCCCCCCTGCCCCACCTGTACAGGGGAATGGGCTCTGGGTGACCTCCCTGAGCTCAGACTGTGGACCCAGAGACCTCAAGGAAGAGTGCCCGGCCTGGCCCGGGCAGGGGCCGGTGCAGAACTACCAGGGAAGAGTTGCTTTGGTGTCTCAGTGAAGTTTGCAACTGACCCAAGGAGGAAACTCGAGAGGGGAAAGGCCAGGAGGCATGAATTGTCAGCACTTTAGCCACTTGAAAACAGCTCCATTTCGGAATGTGAGGTGGTTGTATGTTCAGCTGAGAAGTGAGGGGGCTAAACTCCACCGTCGCTGGGCTCCTGTCAGTCCGAGGCCCAAACGTCCACCACGACAAGGAAAGAACAGAGCGACAGGCCCGGAGGAAGGGAGGACAATTGAAGAAAACCATGTCTAGACTTTCCCCAGCCCTCTCCTTCTTTCTGCTGCCTACAAGAGCCCCAGGCCCGGCCACAGTTCTGTCTCCACCTTTTAGTCCCCTATTCTCCAACCACAGAGGAAAGAAATAAGGAAGGAGTCTGTGCTGCCTTCAGAAAGTATCTATATACCTGAT